ATATTTAAAAATTCTTACAGAATTTCATTGAATATTAACTAAAATACATAAAACATGGAGAATATACTGTAAATGAACGAATGCTTTACGATTGTTTCTTATCAGATCAGATAACAGTACATATAATTTAATATGTAATGTACTGGTAATCCTTAACACCGACTCCTGCGCTTAACCTGTTTGATCAATGTGTTTAGTGTTGTACGCATGGTATAAAAAGGTGCTGGTTTGTTTTGAAAATGTACCATAACTTAAATATTGTTTGATAACACAATAATCGTTAAAATAATAGTCGGTAATATATAATGAGCCGAAAATTAACCATATTGTTCGCACCGGTGGAAGGCGTGGGTCACGTGAATGCGTGCATAGGTTTGGCTGAAGCGCTGCAAAGTCGCGGTCACGACATCGTGTTTGTCGTCGACCAGACATTTAAGGGAAAGCTATCGCCGTTTGGTTTCACGGAAGAGCTCTTCGAGTCGGGAGAGACGGACCAAATGCCCGGCGAAAAGTTTGCCCGATATATGCTTGGGTCGGGTCTACTGTCGGACGCGTCGCCCCTCCAGAAGATGAAGATAATGCAAAACATGTCATCTCTGGGCAAAATGATTGCCACTAAGCGCTCAAATGAGCCCAAACTGAAGGCAGTTATCGATAAATATAGACCCGATTTGTATGTATTGGACGACATCATGGGTTCGCCGACACTAATCCACTCGAGTAAGCCGTGGGTCGCCGTCTGTTCAATGCAACCCTTGTATGTGTTTTGGGATGAGAGGACTCCTCCGCCCGGATCTGGTATTTGACACTATTTTTGAAAGTTTTTAATAAAAAGATTTTGGTTTATTAAATGAAATTTTTGTTAAGGCTTTCCTTCAAAAGGAGACAGAAGTGAATGGAAAGAGTTTCGCAAAGAGTCCTCAAAATCGCTATTAAATGCCAAAAATGATTACAACGAATGGATGAGAGAAGAAGGCTTTCCGACCATTGAGATTAAAAATGCCGTTCCTTTGAAGTCACCCTTTCTTAATATCTATGGATATCCCGAAGAATTGGATTACACAGACATCCGACCCATACCTGAGAAGTGGTTAAGAGTCGACACATTTATGAGAAGAGGAGAGAAACAAGAGTTTAAAATTCCCGATA